CCCCTTATATTATTTTTCCCCTTCCCCTCACTTCCTCTTGTATGTACTTTTGTATAACTCTGAGGGTCTCCTTCCATTTCCATGCATTTTCCCTTCTCTCTCCCTTTCCCTCCCACCTCTCATCCCTGTTTAATGTTAGTCTTCTTTTCATGCTCTTCGACCCTACTCTGTTCTTAGTTACTCTCCTTATATCAAAGAAGACATTTGGCATTTGTTTTTTAGGGATTGGCTAGCTTCACTTAGCATAATCTGCTCTAATGCCATCCATTTCCCTGTAAATTCTATGATTTTGCTATTTTTTAATGCAGAGTAATACTCCATTGTGTATAAATGCCACATTTTTTTTTATCCATTCATCCATTGAAGGGCATCTAGGTTGGTTCCACAGTCTAGCTATTGTGAATTGTGCTGCTATGAACATCGATGTAGCAGTGTCCCTGTAGCATGCTCTTTTTAGGTCTTTAGGGAATAGACCGAGAAGGGGAATAGCTGGGTCAAATGGTGGCTCCATTCCCAGCTTTCCAAGAAATCTCCATACTGCTTTCCAAATTGGCTGCACCAATTTGCAGTCCCACCAGCAATGTACAAGTGTACCCTTTTCCCTAATATCCAGAGTATACAAAGAACTCAAAAAATTAGACAATAAGAGAACAAACAACCCAATCAACAAATGGGCCAAGGACCTGAACAGACACTTCTCAGAGGAGGACATACAGTCAATCAACAAGTACATGAAAAAATGCTCACCATCTCTAGCAGTCAGAGAAATGCAAATCAAAACCACCCTAAGATACCATCTCACTCCAGTTAGATTGGCAGCCATTATGAAGTCAAACAACAACAAGTGCTGGCAAGGATGTGATTGTTATATGGGGAACATTTTGCAAATGTTGGGGGGAAAAAAGGAAGATAATGCTCCTAAAACTGATCCTGACAGATCAAAACAATAAGTAAGTTTATGGCTAAGCATACAACTGCCCTTCCACACAGCAGGACTTTTCTTCTTACCCAACCCCTCCTTTGATCCTTGAAGAAATTGCTCATCTAAATACAAAGTAAACTGCCCATGCTTCTGTCTCTCTCCTGATTTGATTTTTAGCACCTTGAGTTTAGGAATGGTCTTCTTACCTTCTTCCTCATAATGAACTTTTGTTGAATTAAATGCATATCAATGGACAAATAGAAGTCAGTTTGCCCTTCTTGGAGAGGTCCTTGTTTAGAAGTTCAGCACATAATTAAACTCCAAATGCTCACCTAAGGCACAGCTACACTTCCTGTCCCTAATTCCATATCCCAGAAATCTACAAGAGCAGGAGGCATGCATCAATAATATGAAACAGATTTGTTCTGAAATAGTTGTATCTGTTTGCATTCAGCTTCTTGATTATTAATCTATTAATTATAGTTCACACCCAGGTAGGTACAAAGAAGAGCCAGTACTTAAGTCCAAATAGATTCTCTAAACAAAGAGCATGCTACAGGGACACTGCTACATCGATGTTCATAGCAGCACAATTCACAATAGCTAGACTGTGGAACCAACCTAGATGCCCTTCAATGGATGAATGGATAAAAAAAAATGTGGCATTTATACACAATGGAGTATTACTCTGCATTAAAAAATGGCAAAATCATAGAATTTACAGGGAAATGGATGGCATTAGAGCAGATTATGCTAAGTGAAGCTAGCCAATCCCTAAAAAACAAATGCCAAATGTCTTCTTTGATATAAGGAGAGTAACTAAGAACAGAGTAGGGTCGAAGAGCATGAGAAGAAGACTAATATTAAACAGGGATGAGAGGTGGGAGGGAAAGGGAGAGAGAAGGGAAAATGCATGGAAATGGAAGGAGACCCTCAGAGTTATACAAAAGTACATACAAGAGGAAGTGAGGGGAAGGGGAAAAATAATATAAGGGGGACAAACGAATGTCAGTAGAGGGAGCAGAGAGAGAAGAGGGGAGGGGAGGGGAGGGGAGGGGAGGGGGGATAGTAGAGGATAGGAAAGGCAGCAGAATACAACAGACACTAGTATGGCAATATGTAAATCAATGGATGTGTAACTGATGTGATTCTGCAATCTGTATATGGGGTAAAAATGGGAGCTCATAACCCACTTGAATCAAATTGTGAAATATGATATATCAAGAACTATGTAATGTTTTGAACAGCCAACAATAAAAAATTTAAAAAAAAAAAAGAAACTGCAAATAACTTTTCACTGATTTCTCTGTCATACCCCCTTATTAACCCATGCAACAACAACAACAAAAAATAGAGTGAACACCATAAAGGGGGGAGAGGGAAGCTCCATAAAAGCTATTTATCCGTAAAAGCTACAGCATCTATATCCAAAGCATTTACTAAATCATTTAAAATATGTACCATGCTACCACTTCAAGCTCATGTATAAAAATTTCCCCTTCAGTTTGTTATAGTAAAGATAGAATTTGTATGCCTTATTCAAGAATATGCATGTCCTCATTAAAACTATTTTTCAGTTGGTTCTGTTGTGTCAACTCATGATTAACCACACTAATGAAGAGAAGTAATAGCACAGAAAATTCAATGCAGAGAAATCCAAAGCAATTTATTTTTGGCATCAGTATGTTTTATTTTGCAGCAGAATTACCATCATCAAAATTACTTAAACACTTGAAACATTATAGTTTCCCAACACCTTTATTATATTAGTGGCTAAAAAGAAAAAAAAAGAAAAAAAACAAGGCAAAGTGCAAATGCGATTGATGAAAAGAATCATAACTGTGGAGAAGAGGGTAAAAAAAAGAATTGTTGGATCTGATCAGTTCATGCTGTATGGATATGTATGGAAATATCACATCAAACCCTGTTAATATGTATGATTCCTATATGTTAATAACATAAACAATTATTAGGTCATCATTTTGTTTTAGTGTTTTATGCATGTCAGTAACATAGTAGTTGGAGAATGGGGTTCAAGGGTTCAGAGATCAGACTGTCTAAATCCAAATCCTGACTCTGCCCTTGGTAGGCATATCACCTGGGCAAGTATTTAACCTACTTGATACCTTAAGTTTCTCATCTACCTTGTAGGGTAATTCTGATTAAGTATGCTAATATGTATCAAAAACAGTAATTATAAATATTGGGTACTGTTCATAAACATTAGGTATTATCATATCATGTACATTTCTCTGTCTAATAAATACAACAATGTGACAAGTTGGTAACTAAAAGCTTCTTTGAAAATTAAAGTATATCAGTGTTATATCTGGTTTTAGTAGCCTCCTCTGTAGAAATCATATTTTAGTACATGAAAGATAAGTCATAATTCAACACATTGTTACATGAAGAAAGAAAAAATCAAATCATCTTTCTTATAACTTGATGCACCAAGTATGGCAAATTTAAGTGTCAACATCTATTTTATAGATTACTACCAGTTTTCAAGGTTTATGATTGTATAATAAAAATTCATTTCCCAAGAAACTACATAAATGCATTGCCTGTCTTTTAGTACAATGGCTTGACTTATTGCAAACCCAAGTCAAAATTAATTTTTTTAGCATTCTATAATGCAGATTCCTCAAATAATAACATGAGATAATAATAATGAAATAGCATGAATTATATAAGAAACTAATTTTAAAATGGGGATTGAATGTGCACAACTGTTTCCAACTTCAAAATAATGTCAATTTGATGACAATCTCTATCTAGGTCCATGCAAGTTGCTTCTCATTCATATCTGCTGGATTTAGAACATTCATCCCAAATATTAAGTCAAAAATTTGTAGGCATGGCAAAAACACTAAGCTCCTGTTAATAATGCATTATGAATAAATCATTTAATCACTTACCTACATATTCTTAACAGATATCTAATTATATTTTGCAGTGGTTTGGATGTTAAATATCCTCTAGAGTTTCATGGATTAAAGGCTTAGTCCCTAGCTACTGGGAGGTGTAGAACCTTTAGCAGGTGGAACTATTGGGAAGTCCTTAGGTCAATGAGGGTGTGCTCTGGAAGGAGATTGTAAAACCCTGGTTTCCTTTCTCTTCTTTTTGTTTCCTATCTCCTGATGTTAGCAGTTTACTCCAATATGTATTTCTGCCTTGATGTACTGCTCTCACCAGATGCCCAGGGAAAGAGCCCACTCAATGTTGAACTGGAACCATGAGCCAAAATAAACCTTGTCCCTTTTTAATCTAATCATCTCAGGCATGTCATTATAGTAACATATAACTGATTAATACCTATGTGGTACTATTTCATACAGTATTAGCTTTACAAGAATATGATAGCCAGTGTAAAGCAGAATTGTTTTTGTTGTTTAAACTTTAAAGGGAAAATGTCTGAGATCTTGTATCATAAGAGTCTAGTAAACAAATCGCTTTATTTACTTATTTAATTATAATTCATTGAATATGATGTTTCCATTCTCATTGCACATATAGAAGCACTTCCATTACCATCCATTTGTCCTGTTTTTCCTTATTAAGGTGAGTTAGCCAGAACTGCAAGCTCTGTTTACAGGAATGGACAGATCTTACTTAATTTAATATAAAGCTCTTCCTTTGGGGTCTTGCTAAGATCTCAGTTGTATCTAATTACCAGTGCTCTCTATTTTAGATGATATTTTGCATTAACAGAAAAGAGAAAGAAAAGCCACTTTTTTTGAAATTTTGTACAAATGAATTTATTGCACCGTGAAGGCACTTGGAAACAAGATGAAGTGACTTATGTCAAGTAGTAAAAATGGACGTGGTAAAGTTCAAAAACTCCAATCAGTAATCTAACTCATGCATGTAAAAATAAAAGATATCCTGACATAATCGTGATATGTGATTAGCTTATTTCTAACTATAATATACTGAAGTAAACATAATTGATGCATATTTTTTTCATTTATGTAAGTTTTCTTATTTAATATCTTAAAGTCTAGCCAGCCAATAAATATCATTTTTAAACTATAGTGATTATGAATAAAGATTTTATCTTAAATAATTAAATTCTTACCCTGATCGAAGGGTTTTCCTGGACTCCAAGTGCGGAAATAATCATCCTAAGGAGGAAAATAATGTGAATTGAGTGTACATGAGTAATTAAAATGTAAGTATTTATATAAAATCTAAAAATAAAATATAAAACAGAAGCTGTATACAAACCTCTACTTCCTGTAATGGCAAGCAGCAAATTATAAAAAGAAATAAAATAAAAATAAAAAAAAGGAACAAGAGAAAAAGAAGAGTTATCAAAAAGGAACACATTGTTTACAAATTACAGAAAAGTTTTTCACTAAATGTGCTCATTTTAATTGCAAGTTAATGACTACTATAACATTTAAACTATTTTTTTTGGTTGTCACTTCTAAATATTATAATGCACTAATTTCAATTGCAATTCAATGTGTAATATAACATGCAGATAATTATTGTAAGCTAATAAACTATAAAGTATCTTACCAGTTTCCAATTATACAACTTCATTTCCCACTAGTACAATAGTAAATGGAACCATTAATATAGCAAGGGAAATATCAACTGATTTTTGCAGTAGCCCACAGAGTATAAATACTTTCTGCAAATCATTCACATGTTAATTGAATATCTAAGGAGTTCATCAAAATGCAATTGGGAAATTGAAAAAAAAATGCACACCTAATTAAATCCTGGCTAACGTTTAAATCTTTAATATGGAAAAGAACCGAAGCGATATATTTACTGTACACTTAGTAAAAATAACTGTGCCACACAAAACTAGGGCAATGTACACTAAAAAGAGCAAAACACCAAAGCCAAATGGACTAAACCTATCTTACTTCTTGTCTTCATTACTCTAAAAGCCTTAAGAAAAATAACAGTGCTTCATTCGTACTATTTTTCATTGTAGATTTAAAAATTCATAGTTTAAATTAATATACTGTTTTCACTCATCTGGAATAAAAAGGTGGATCATATCCTGGTGAGGTTAAAAAACTTCCTAGCTTCATACTCTTGGACTCATTCAAGCCATTTTAGCTGAAAAACTACAGAACTCGGTGAATCTAAAAAGGCCAAGCAAATTCTTTGACTCTTTCTCCTGTCCTATTTTTTAATGTTCTCCAGTTTATAATAGAAAGAAAGCACAGATTTTAGTCATTGAAATAAACACCATTCTCTACTTTAAAAAAAAATTAAAGTGTGTTTCTGAACATTTTTTATTACTGTGAATAACTGTTCCCTACTACCTTCTGTATTCCACCCACCTACTTTAAATGAAAGAAAAAAAGAAAAGTAAGTCAGAAGAAATAGCATAAAAACATCTTTGTAGTCTTGTATTTAAGTTAAGATATGGGTTATAATAAGAGTAGAGCAAATGACGGCAATCTAAAACAATATATTTTTCACTAAAGTATCCAAGATTAGATTAAGGGAATATAATGCCATTGGGTAATTAAATAAACATTGATTGTTTAATCTCTTTTAAAAATCTCTATCTAAAAACAATTATAACATGATAGAATTCTTGGAAAACTAAGCTTACAAATTAAATTACTCCACTAAGAGTTCCAGAGCTTAATCTGAGGACCATAACACACTCATGGAATATCGTTTTTTGTTTTGAATTCCATCTTACTGTTTGGAATGACAATTAACATTCATTCCAGCAGGGAGAGGGCTTAGACATCTTTGTCTTTCCTGAAGCCAAACAGAAGCTAGACAGGAGCACATGAGTAACAGACCTGAAGATAGGTCAACTCCACCTGAAGTCTTGCTGAATCACTTACGAGCAGCATCACTTTAGGAAAAGTGATGATATAGACTTCAAGCCCTCGTGACTGAAGGGGAAAAAATAATTCCTACTTGAGTGGGGTGCTCTGGGGAATAGTCATAAAATATGTAAAATACCAGCATAATATCTGGCATAGAGGAGTTGTTCACACTTAGTAGATGCTTTGAAGAGCACAGTTCATCTTTGTTAGGGTCTCTGGGCAGAACCATTGAACACAACTATCATAACTGCCGACAAAATCCTGTAGGTTTTCCACTTTGTAAAAACATCCATACATTCCTCTAATGTGAAAGTGCATTTTAAAAGAATGTGATGGTAAAATTTAACCTCAATCACATTTAATTAACTTCCTTCAGAATAACACTATCACATTTGTTTAATATGGGACCACAGTCATACAAAAATCTATAATCAAATGAGAAATAGGAGCCTGATTCTTTTAGTTTTGTCAAGGGCAACATTGAAGCCTGACCATTATATGCAAAAGCAAAGTAGTTAGTCTACTAGGTTATTTTTTGGACATATTCTTTGTGTTCTCACTTCATAGACTTTTTTTTAAATGGTTTCACTTCATTAAATCTTAGGATTTTTGCCAGAGTGAGAAATAAAAGAATTTTTTACATAAGTGTTCATTCAGGCATAATTTCTTTTGTTTCAAAAAGTTTTGTGTGAAAATTGGTTGTTCACAGGCTTCAATTTAGATACCAAATAACCAGTTAGAGATTTAGAAAACAACTGAAAGAAATGACCCCAACTGGAGAAATTTAGGTTTTCAACAACTACAATCCAGCCTAAGTGACTTGACAGTCACAGCTGGATTCTTGTTGTTCATATTTAAAATCTTATACTAGTGAACTACGGGAGACTATAGAATTTAATATATTTACTATTATATTATACTTTTGCTGATTTCTTTTGCTTGAGGAAATAATGATTGTTAATTTTTCACAAAACATAGTTGGCCTAAGCACATTTGATATGTATACTATTTAAACTGTTTTTCTTTGTATGTTTAGTGATATGTCTTTTTTCTAGTTTTAAATAAAATATATATTTAATGTATTGCATATTTTCTCAACTTTGACATTACTGGTATTTCACACCAGAAATTCCTTGTTTTGATGGGGACAAGGAGACTGTCCTATTTATTATAGGCTGTTTATCAGTATCCTAATCATCTACTCATGAAATACCAGTAGGAATTCTCCCCCTAAGTTGTAACAAACAGAAATTTCAACAGATATTCCCAAATGTCTTCTAGGGGGAAAATATCACTCATTTGAGGACCACTAGTGTAAAGTTATTTAAAAATACAGAAAAAAACAATTAATCAAGAGATCCTACAACAGAGGACTGTTACCACTAACAAATGTTTTATAGTATTGAGATCATGTTATATATTCAATTTTATATCCATTTTTTTTATCATTTTGCATTGATATGACTATTTTTTTTTCAAAATATTCAATAGTTACATATAACATGGTGTGGGAGTTACTATCATTTATTTGTGACCTCATGTGTCATAAATAAGATTTAGAAAACAATTGAAAGAAATGCCCCCAACTGTAAAAATTTAGGTTTTAGATAGCTATATCCCAGCCTGAGTGATGTGACAGTCCCAGCTGGATTCTTGTAATTCATTTTTAAAATCTTACACTAGTGAACTATGGAGACTATAGAATTTAATATTCTATATTTAATAATAGATATATATTATTCTATATTTAATATCTGAGGCCTTTGTATTATTTATAATATTTTGCTATTATGAATACAATAAATAAACATTTTATTACATTTTTGTTTTCTTATCAATAGAAAATAAAGTATTTGAGAAAGTGACCAGAAGGAGTAAACAGTATACTCATATGAGAAGAATTAGTTTCCTACTATAGTAACTGGTTATAACTAAGTGAAAAGGGTCAAAATGAGAGGTTTCTACTCAATAATCAATTATTTGGTTCATTTGTATCCACATTAATACTTCCATACTGAGATAAGCTGTCTTATTGTCTAAAGGACTTATGGAGATTGGCATGAAACTAGGTCAGGATTGTTAGGCATACGCATGGATTTTGATACATGATCAATTGGGAACAGGAGAATCTTGATACCCAAGAGCGCCATTAATGTCTAGAGATGCAAATAAAAATGTAACAATTACGCATCATGTTAACTGTTTTTTATTATGTCATTCAAGCTGCTCCAGTGGCTATGAAGAGCTGTAGGGGGAATAAAATTTTACTGAAGTAAATATTTGATTAGAAATTGCTAAGAAAGCATCAGAAGTAAACAGAGACACTATTGGAGTCTACTGGACACAATGTTGTCTTAGATTTTCATAACCACTTACAGTTTGTATTAAGAAACTTCTATAAAGTATGTTTAAGCTGTAGAATGATTACTACATAATCACAAAATGAAACAAAAGATAATATTTTTGAAATAACACTTTGAAAATAAAATGTGTCAAATTGATGATTATCCAATAGTAGCTATTTTTAATACAGCATATACATATTGCAAACAAACCTGTTAATGTGGTTCTAGGTGCAGCATATAATTTCCTCATGTGTGGGTATGTATGTGTGTATGTGTATGTATATATCACAAATATACACACTTATTTACATATATTAAATGTATAGATGTTAATACATAAATAAATCTAGGAACTAAATAAACAGGTTGATTACAGAGATTCATTTCACTATATATAACATTTAAATACTATTGAAATAACATTTTATGATTCATATGAGGCATCCCACAGAGTAGATAAATTTTAACAAATGTAGCTTTGCAAAAGAATTATGTAACAAAAGATTGATAATATTTAAAGATTCTTAAAATACCTTATGTAGGATTCTAGAAACCTAAAAAACTTAGTCTGAAAGACAAAGTAAAGAAATATATTCAGCTATTATACTACCAACTATGTATACTGACACTTTATTATTGTAATGAGCATATTTGCAATAAATTCTCCCATAATGTAATGACATCAGCTACATACTACACTGAAAAATAATGTAGTTTCTTATAAACATTGTCAAAGTATTTCTTCTAATTTATAGAATCCCACTAATACTGTATTGTTTATTCAGAAGTATTGAGTGATACTTTATATCAAAACTTTTGAATTATATTTCAGGAAACATGTGCTACTGTTTTTTTTTTTCCTTTTTGCAAAAATGGATACCTTCAAAAGCAAGGATTTTTTTTAATCAGTGATCTCATTAATAGAAAAATTAACTCCAATTGCAAATGAGTTAGCAAGAAGAAAAG